TTCTACCGTAACGAGGAAATAGACTATATTTAACTGGACGTAAACAAACGTATTTAATGATTCACATCAAGCACAAGTGGTGCGTTAAAAGTAAATCAAGAATTTGGTCTATATAACGCTATTGAGCAGTTCTAAAGGACAGAAAAGGAAATCTGGAAACCTGTTGTACTCGTGGTTCCATCTTGTGAGAAATTTGATGAACTAAAGTTTATAAAAAATACAAATTAATGTTTAAATGCTAATGCTGCAGTGGTTTTCTAACATATTTTAGAACATGGAAACATATGTTGGTACTGAAAGATAGTTGAATGGGTACTGTTTACAATTTTGAATATATAATGAGCATTCTGTTAACCGCTGACATTTGGATCCATTTAGTAGGAAGTAAAAGTTACAGTTTTAAAACCGTTTAAAGTGACTTCAAAGCCCCTACTGAAAAAAAAACAAAAAAACTTAACGATGTTGGAGTAATTTTAAATTGTATTAGAACCCTACAAAATGATACAGTCATTTAGAGAGGGTCCGGCATGGCCAGGTGGTTAGGGCGCTCGACTCACAATCTTTGGGTCGAGGGTTCGAATCCCCGTCCCACCAAACGTGTTTGCCCTTTCAGCCGTGGGGGCATTATAATGTGACGATCAATTCCACTATTCGTTGGTAAAAGAGTGGCCCAAGAGTTGGCGGTGGGTGGTGATGACTAGCAGCCTTCTCTCGTGTAGCTTTGTGTGAAATTTATAACAAACAAACAAACCTGAAACTTTTCCGGCTACATTGATTTTGAATTATATAAGTAGAACATAAACAGTGAAACATCAGTAATATCCAGTCATCTTTCTGTCTGTTTATCAATCAACCTATTACAGAGGTGCAAATGACTTTTACTCGTCTGAAACGTATGCAGTTGAGATTTTTCAATTTCAGAAATGGCTGTTAATTTTATCAGATGTGACAAAGTTGTTTCCACAAGACTTAAGTTCCAAAATCAACAAGTGTTGTGTTAAACATTCTACTCTCATAAGGTTTTCCAAAGATTACTTAAAAATCGCTCTGACGATGATTTCTTAACTTTAAAAAAAAAGTGAGTTTTAACTACTGTTAAAGCTTTTGACTATGATCCTGTGTATATATGTTAACTGTTGCATTTAAAGATCAGCAAGATGAATGCATGTAGTTGATATGAATATATAGTATGTGTATTATAACGAGTTGGTATAGAACACACCTTATCCCTTAATTTTTATTTGTATCCACTAGATCAAAAATCTTTAAAAGTATCCAACTTACGCAGGACTTTAAGACGTGCAGCTAATATTCGAATACCCGAATATAGGCGTAACCTGGCGAAGACAAGTGTAATCGATAGTGATATCACTGGAAAGGCATGCCTGTGTGTTAGAAACTTCACGACCACACACTGGCAGTGTCAGATGAATGGGTTTTTCCTTCTTTTTTTTTACAGCGCCCCAATTTTTACTTTGTTATATTTCAAGCTTTTGTTTTGATAAAGTTGTTACTTTAACTGATCGATGAGTCTATAATATTAGGCAAGTGTATGTTGTATACTATATAAAAATAACCTTTTATAGATATTTTACAGTGCTCCAATTTTTACTTTGTTATATTTCAAGCTTTTGTTTTGATAAACTTGCTATTTTACCTGATCGATGAAACAATACAATGAGGCAAATGTATTGTAAATAAATAAATAACCTTTTATAAATATGAATACATTTAGCTCTGTATATCGTATTTATTTACCTATATTACAGTAGTGGAGGCCTTAGTCGTCTGTGATTTTAGATAAAAAAGATTTCATTACATCTCGTTAGCCTTTTTTTTTTCCCCAAAGCGATGAGCCTTTATCTAAAGTTCAAGAAACTTTCTTATATGTTTTTTAAATTATATTTGCGATTTTATAATCAGCTAGGCATCTAGTGGAATGTTTTTGTTAGTTATTCTACGTTTTCCAGATTTATATTATTCACTGTAAAATAAACATGTCGACAGCCCAGAATCGTGAGATCTTATCATATCTTTGAATCGAAGAAAACGCCCAATTGTAAAACTGTCTGCCTCGTCATCAGTTAATGTTAGGAAAAGAAGTGATTATCGTCGTAAAATTCAGAAATCTAACTGTAATATTTTAGTTTTTATTCCTGGTACATTTATATTAAAAAAAACAAAAACAAATAAGCTTTTAATCTAAATCGGAAAATTTTACGATCTGCTAATTATGGTTTGTTCTGATTAGACCATCATGCTTTTCGTTAGATATTTGTAAGTTGAGGTCCTTGTAAAATTTAGATTCCAAGTACGTTAATAAAATCCTTACGATAAATGTAACCGTGTTTTAGGCGAAACTTTTTACTGCTAAAGTGATTGAAGTTTTTAGTTCAATCTGTCAATAGCTGTCTTGCAGAATTAGAATCTTTCTTCGTTTTATGAATTACCTAAAATTATATGGGTTTTTTTGTACATTTTCCAATTATGAAACAAAATGGTAAAAAAAAAAAAAAAAACGTAGATGGTTGACCAACTCGACCACTTGGCACAAAAAAGTTTCACCCGAAAAAATCAGCATTATCTTGAGATATTGCCCGAATAATGAGTAACTCCCCATTTAGTGGTAAGCTAGCTTGCTTAGACAGTATCAGGATATAAGAGAGCGCCATAATTAGAAATGGGGTGCTTATTAAGTAATTTTACAACATGATCAATGGTTGTATTCCTTGCACTATTTACCGATTGGATTTAAATTCGAGAAATACATAGCTATTGGTGACCACATGGCATGCGTCAGTTATCAACATATTGTTTCTAAATGCAAAATGCGAGAAACGTCTGTTTTCGGTTTCACAGATAAGATATGGCAAACATAATTGGGCAGCAAACTATATACTATAAGCCCGTTTTTTGTTACACGATGAGTTATCTGGGCTTTGCCATCCGCAGGTATCTAAGCCTGTTTTTTAGCGCTATAGGCTTTGGGATATGCTATTGGCAGTTAGATAGTGCAAGTCTAGACAGTAGTAGGTTTCTCCAGTAAAGCTAAATCATCTAACAAACACTGTTTGTTTGTTATTAGGCACAAAGCTACGGTTTTTGGCCTTATGATATTTCACACTTACCGCTGAGTCACTGGTGGGGGGGGGGGAGAGGATTAGTCACAGTTTAGTTTATGTGGATTGTTCAAGTGCAAAAATTATTTTAGTTAAATAAGTATTTAGCATAAAAATCAAGAATTAAAAAACCAGGTTCCTCGATAAGCAAAAGGAGTAGAAAAAATGTATTATAAGGTTTTAGATGTTGAACACGTGCGTGGTCTAAAATGTACCATATAGCAAATGTACCAAAGTTTTCTTTGTATAGTATATAGGCAGATGTTCAATGACTAGATCTTAAGAGTTTGCACATTATGGAATGTGGACATTGAATGAATGGCTAGATTTTGAAATTTGCATAGTGTGAAACACAAATTTTAGAGTTTGCATAGCGTAACACAGATTTTAGAGTTTGCATAGCATAACACAGATTTTAGAGTTTGCATAGGGTAACACAGATTTTGGAGTTTGCATAGCATAACACAGATTTCAGAGTTTGCATAGCGTAACACAGATTTTGGAGTTTGCATAGTGTGAAACACAAATTTTAGAGTTTGCATAGCGTAACACAGATTTTAGAGTTTGCATAGCGTAACACAGATTTTGGAGTTGCTAAATGGGAGATACGAATATTAAACGGCTACATTTCGGAAACACAAATATCTAATGTGAAAAATTTTGTGATTCATTCTTTAAACAATTTTGTATTCCTTAAATAATGTCCATGATTTTCCCATTCGTGTTTTCTAGTGATAATTAGTAGAGATTCTCAATTCTAAGTTAGATTTTTGGAAAAAAACTTATTATTTTGAAAAGGTTTAAAGAAGTATATATATATAAGTCACGTTTTGTAAATTCTCATCATGACCTACTTTAACACCAGTTATCTATTCTGGAGTAAATTACAAACCTAAAGACAAAAATAAATGTGCTTTGTTTCATAACACGTAGCGAAAATTAGCTAAGAAAATATTTTTTTTTTTACTGAATATGTTAGATAGTACTATATTTAATATCTTAAACACGCATCTCTTGAAAGTGAATTACTATAGATCGTCAAGTGAGTTATTTAATTTAGTTTTTCACCATTTTCAGATTAAAATAGATATTTCAGTGATTAATTTCATTTGAAAATTACATAAACTAGTTTTTGTGATATGTTCAAAACGATAACCTAATTCATCTCTGTTTATTTCAACGTAAGATTTTAACTTCATTTCCGCGTTATTGTTAAACAGGTTTTATTTTGTGAGGTACTCTATATTATATGATGCTTCTTTAGTTTCATAATACATTTAATATGCAAAAATTTAATCATAGGTTTAGATACTTAATTTGACAAGTTTTAGCAAGTACCATACATGCTTAAATCACGTGAAATAATAGTAATGAACATAAATAATATATCGTATTGTAAAAGAAGCCTGAACCACACCTGGGACCGTAATTAGCCACGCCGTTTTGTTAAAGCTGGAAAAAAAGATAACGAAGCTGAGCGGGGTCAAAGAACGGCGCGCGTAGAAGGCGGGATACAATTCTGCATGAAAGATTGTAAAGTTGATAATGGCCGCGGTAGTGCGTCCTGAAAAGTGTATCATGCCACCAAGCTTCGTACACGAGGACCGTGGGCGCGGACGTGCGCGTTGATCACGGAACGCTCGTGTGCGCGCTTGGGCCATTCCTGTGTTGCTTTAGCTCCTGTGTATCTAACGTTTAAACCGATCTTAAAATATTTTATTACCATATAAACAGACACAAAGAGAAAACGATTTATGTCTACTGAGAATAAAACTCTTCACAGAAAGGTTTAATTTAGTTATAATTGCTGAAGAAAAATATAGACTTAAGGGGAGGTCGATTCTCAATACCTGATGTTTTCTATGGCTCATCTCCCTGCAGATTACCAAGGATCATCGCCTGGTGCGCAACTAGAAAATAGCACGAGAAAAACTAGCACAGAGGGGATTTTCCCTGCAGGCACTGACTACAAGGCACCACCTGGTGGAGGTCAGCAGCAGCAGCTCGGAGCCTCAGCTTTTTCTTGTTCCTCATCTATTATTTCTCTAAACAACGACATGCCCACAGACATGTTATTAACTGCGCGGGACTCCACCACTTTGCCCGTCAAGCCAGAGCGTCTATCCCCGGAGTTTGAGTCTTCTTCGCCCTCTGTGTCGCCACACTCACCAAACTCCTCTCGAGCTTTTCCCTCAACTCTCGGTCTAGGATTTGGGCTCCGGGGAGCTTTCCCTCCATCCTCTCCTGGTCTGGAGCGGTGCACGTCTTCTGGATTAGCTTGTGGAGCATCGGCATTAAAACAGATGGAAATGATGACTAGGAACTACAGTGATTTCATGCGCTGCCTTGCTGCAAAGTATAACAACCAAAACAATCAAGAAAGGTAAGACTAATTTTGTATCAGCAACAAATCATGTCCACTCTTAAATTGTCTGGTAGTAGCAATATATATATATATATATATAATTTAGAAGTACCAGTTAGTATATTATGTAATTACATCTATTTTAGATTAAGTTAAACGTCTTTCGTTTTTAGAGTCACACCAACGTTGACTAATGCGT